GAAGGGTTACACTGCATGACCTTTGTAAGCTGTTGTTGTTGTTGCTTGATTTTATCCATGGCGTAGAGGTAGAACCATTGGTTTTGACTCTAGGGTGACAAGATAACCGGTTGCTTGCAATTTATGCTTTTTTTGGTATTCTAGGCTGTTGTTCGACCTCATAGGACCTTCCGTTTCAACGAGTGCGTCTGTACTCCTTACAATGCAGACTTTGATGGCGATGAAATGAATCTTCATCTTCCACAAACAGAAGAGGCCAAGGCTGAAGCACTCACTCTAATGGGTGTAAGTACAGTCACCTGTCAAAACACTTGGGAAACGCGGTGTGATTGGCTAAAAGATCTCGCGCCACTCTCTCAACCAATTAGAGGTTAAACCAAAACCATATGACTTGTTCAATCGATTTCCCCGCGCTTTGCCACTGCTTTATGCATTTCCTTCGAGATGTGATTGGTTCATTTGAATATGTGCTCGTATTGTGATTGGTCGGAGGGGTAAATACTTTTACGTCAAAAGACTCGATGGTCAGAGCGCCTGACCAGCAAATAACCTAACTCGCTATTAGTTATCGAGTACTTCCTTTGGTTACAGCCTCAAGCCGACCGCAATTTTGCTCGTTTCACAGTGTGCTTTTTGGTCGCCACATTTAAAAAGCGTCCGTCCTCATTTCCTTTCTTTGCAGGTAAAATCTAATTTAGTGACACCACGCAATGGTGAACCTCTCATTGCGGCTATACAAGATTTCATCACAGGTACTCTATTCTTTCCACTTACATGATGATAAGCCCTTTTTTATTCGGTCCCACATCATTTCTCCCCGCGCTTATCAACACTAGACACTTGTGGCATATTTTGTAACTTTGCAGGGGCGTATCTTCTGACCCAGAAAGACGTTTTTCTTGACCGGAGTCACATTACTCAGTTGCTGGCCTACATTCTGGCTGGAAAAGATGTTAATATAAGAATCGATCTCCCACCCCCAGTTATTCTCAAGGTGAGTTGTAGTCTCTTGCAACTGCAGTAGCTGCTGTAAGAAATGGAGCGGAGGAAGGGGGGGTGTACGCATTTATTTAGAAAAGCAGAGACGGGCCAAGGGATTTCCAGTAAAAGGGTCCAAACTTCTGTATACCATGAACCCTAGCACACGTGAAAAATTTCTGCGCCGACTTGCAGTTACTTATTTCTTTTGCGCCAGCCACGCAGCTGCTTGGCATTTTACATCATTTTTCCATTGAACTTTTACTATGTAGCCTTTATCGACGATCCTGCAGTGGTAAACAGTAGTAAAAATGTCGTATTTGTATAGAGGAAGCCATTCCCTGTCGATAGTTCATCATTGTCTGATTTGTCGTTGTGTTCTTCGCGTATGATTTTGTCGCGGTTGTTTGCTACAATTTCATTTGCGATATGTCTCAAAGCCATTTCGCTTGTTAGAATTTTTCCTAAGAGGGCCTCATAACGTTAGTTCATTTTCTTTCTGTCTGTTTTTTTTGTAGCCAGTAAAACTCTGGACTGGAAAGCAAGTCTTCAATGTTGTGCTGAGACCAAACAAAGATATGCCAATCAAGATGAACTTACGGACAAAAGGCAAACAATATTCAAATGGAGAAGATCTTTGCATTAACGACTCATGTAAGTAAACTTCTATCGGCTGCGTTTTTATAACTAGTCAGACACCCGTATTATAAACAGTTAAAATTTCTTAAGTTCAAAGCAAGTTCCACCCTGATTCTTTTTTTGTCAACTGAGATCCTGTTTATATGGAGGAAACTTGTTCCGGGTGAAAGGGTCGTCCGCTTACCCGAGTTACTTCCTACATTTCCTTACCAAACGTAACGAACCGTTCACACGAAAAACAAAACGTTGGCCCGGCTAGATGAAGGGCAACCCTCCTAGCCGGGCCAGCTTTTCTCCATATACAGCTATTTCGAGAAAGGTCGTCGGAAAAAGTGCACGCGACAATCAGAAATTTGAAAGATTGGCACGAGCGGCAATGGACGTATGTTTGCGAGTGCTTAAGGAAAGCAACAAAAGTAGGTTTGACAGCTACAGTGTCAGGAACAGTGTATTGATCATATCCCATATTACCTTTCTGGATTGTCGCGTGCTCAATTTTTTTTCTGGCAACCCTTCTCGAAATAGCTGTAAACACTTTGGCTCAACCAGCCTCAGCTCGTTCAAGGCGAGACAATCCGAGCATGCACGAGCGCTGTTGTTGTGTCGGGCCAAAGGGCTACCTTTTTTCTCATATAAAAGCTCAGTCAAGTTGACTGGGAGGGTGATCCTCTTTCCCGGGACATTTTTTCTCCGTATAAATGGGCCCTTAGTTGATTAAATACAATTTACCATCGTAAAAAGATTAAAAAGCTGATGTTTCAAACCCTAGCCCTCATCAAGTGTCGAAGATCAGTTCGTAATGTTCATGTGTCGTTGTCAGTAATTCATGCTGACAAATTTCACAACACTTCCATAGACTATCCAATCAGAAATTGAGCCAAAACCATCTTTACTCTGTCCCATTCATTTTTCCGCGCTCATTTTGCGCCGGCTACGAGAGTTTCGTTTGTGATCGGTCCACTTAAACATCTACGCGAGCTGAGATTGGCCTGAATTTCAGTCGAGTTTGTTTTACCGTTTCGACAATAGATTAACAATCTCTCAAACAGTTTCACTCCGTTGGTTTCTCGCAGATGTAGTAATTCATAACAGTGAACTAATGTGTGGTGCACTGGATAAAGCTGTTCTTGGTTCTGGATCAAAAAACAGCATTTTCTATGTTCTTCTCAGAGACTTTGGAGGTCAGGTTAGTGATATACGACCTTGCTGGTCGCAAAACAGTCGTCTTTTTAAAGGTGTTTCGACATTTTCGATGTCTTCATTATTATTGTTGTAATTTTTTGGCAGGCAGCCGCAGATGCTATGTGGAGAGTTGCCAGGGTTTGTCCGTTTTTCCTGAGTAAGTATGCTTATCTCACTCTATTTCTGGAAGCCTTGCTTACTGGTCCAGAGCATAAAAATCTCTACAGGGTAAAAATGAAAACGTGTATTTTCTGTCATCCTGAACTAATTTTTGCGAATTTGACTGCTTTTTGTTATGAGAACGCCGGAGTCTACCTCCTGAAGAATACTGCAACTTTTATAAAGAATTCCATTTGTCCTTAAGCCGGGGCGGGGGGAGCTTGCCAAATGTAACACAATAGCCCATTTTGTGGTCACTGCTTTTCCTTCTTCGGGCCGGGTTGGGTGGGGAGTTGGTTTTTTTTGGGGGGGGGGGGGGGGGAAGAGGTGGTACTCTTAGGCTGTTGTTCTTGGACAGTAAGTTCAAGGTTAACTGCCCATACATACCTTTTTTGACTCGTGGTCTCAAGCTACTCCCCAACGAGCGTTCGTTTGGCGTAAATCGTCCTCGATCGTCGTATAGAAGGCTTCTTGGAAGTCTTCCAAATTTGACGCTTCTCTGTCTGAATGCCTCAAAAAGGATTGATTCTCTTTTTTACATAGGCTCTCTGTTGACCATGGCTTTGTATGATTTTATCTTGAATGGTAACGTAGGGATAGAGAAGATAAATCATTTATTTGTGTTTTCTTGTCATTTATTAGGTAATCGAGGGTTCTCAATTGGGATTGGTGACGTCACTCCCGGTCAAGGTCTATTGCGAGCGAAGGACCAACTTCTAAGCAATGGGTAGGAAACTTGTCCACTTCTTCCTCTTCCATAGGCTCGTTTTTTGCCGCTCTCTCGGTCCTTCCGGAGAGGAGTCTTTTCGGGCGGTAACGCGGGCTCATTTCCCGAGCAGCGGCTGGTAATCGAAGCTCCCTCTTCCATACTGTAGTTTTTGAAATGACACCAAGTAAATTTCAGGCACTTTACCAACGTCAATTCTTGTGATTGAGACGAACGGCCTTTATATCTATGTCTCTGGATTTTGTTTTTTAACTGTTTCTTTTGACTTCGTGTTAAGGCAACACATTTCCTCGGTTAAACGCGTTGTTGGTCCCAAATAAAAGTTGGGTCTAAAACTGCAAAAGAGGAAGTTGTAAACAAGGCCCTCAGACTTAAATATTCAGTTGTGGTATAATAAACTTGAGGTAACAAGATCTACGGTCCCCGAGTAGTTGGAAGGGAAATCCCTGTGTTGAAGAATAGCGAGCTGAAATAAACTGTAGCCGGGTCTACAAGGTCAAATTTGAAATAAACTCTGAAACATTTAACCCTATAAACCCTAAGATCAAAATTTGAATTCTCATTTGTTGCCCCTATTCATTTCCTACAGAAGTAGTGGGGAGAAGTTGTTAAAATGTTAAGCAAAATCATCTTGTGTGATCATGTCTGTAAGTTGATAAAATATCAAGCAAATTCATCTGGTGTGATCATGATCATGTCCACAATTCTTGTGACCACTCTGTTTTACAAAGCATTGATATTACAAGGAGAAATTTAATGCTGATCACCCTTGGGGCTTAAAGGGTTGATTGAGAAAATACTGTTTGTCTAATTTCCTGTCCATCTTTTCTGTTTTTGTTGTAGTTACTCCAAATGCGATAACTTCATTCAAGACTTTAAAGAAGGCAAGCTACAAACGCAGCCGGGCTGCAGCGCTGATGATACGCTAGAGGTGAGTCCGCTCTGTTCCGCCTCCATACGTTTCATAAGGTTCTTTTGGCGTGTTTCGGTATGGCGCATTGGATGAGGCGATTCCAAGCGTGGACTCAACTTCTTTTTGTTCAAACATGTTATATACTGTCTGCCTCAAGAGCTCCAAAAACTCATCTAGGGAGCTCGCATGTAATACATACTCAATTTTATCTCTCCACTCTCTGCCATCTGTCCTCCATGCATGAAGAGTACAAAAAGTCCGCAAAGTTCAAGAAAATTCCAAAATTCGTTTTGTAAGATACTGAAAGAAAAACGTAGCTGCTTGTAGATGCGCTGCTAAATGGCTTTAATTTTAATGGTCAAACCACAGGGTTTCTTGCAGCGACTCGAAAGTTAGAACTACATACTAAACAGTACCATGTGACCTACGGCTTTTCAGTTAGAACAAACTTGTATAGCATTATAAATAGCACCATAGGAAAGTATTACTCAGTAGCTTTCACTTGAGGTGAATGGTCACACCATAGGGTATTCACAGACTCAAAACTAAGAACTACATACATCATTACGGTACAGAAGTGATTCTGGTGGCAGAACTGATTTATTTGCCAGTTGTTGTAAGGTGTGTGTATTGTGTGTTTGTTGCAGGCGGTTATCCTCAAGGAACTGTCTGTGATCCGAGATCACGCAGGAAAAGCTTGTCTGCGAGAATTACACAAGTCTAATAGTCCCTTGACTATGGCAGTTTGTGGTTCAAAGGGTGAGTGACTCACGGGGGAGGGGTGGGGTATTGCACTGTGTGTCAGGGCAGCGCATGAGTGACTAATGGGGTTGGGGGGGTGGGGGTGGGACGTGCCAAGTTGTGGTATGCGCAGTAGCTTTCGTTTAAATGATCACACTTCCACGATCTCATTTACAGTCGTAAGGTTAGAGCCACCTGGCAAAAAGGGCCTAGAGAGCACCATTGGAAAGTACTGCTCGGTAGCTTTATAGCATAATAAGCAGTACTTAAGCAAAGTGCTATAAAGACTTGATCCACAGACTCGAAATCTAGAATCACCTTGAAAATCGGCATAGGGAGTACCACTGGAAAGTAGTGTTTGGTAGCTTTTAGTTAAACGGTCAGACTGACTGAAAGATTTAATCCACAGATTCAAAAGTTGGAAACACTTCGTAAAGCATAATATATGAAGTGCCACAGGAAATTACCACTCAACAGGTTTCACTTGAATGGCAAACTCAAGGAATTTAACGGGCTGATTTTTTGTTGTTCTTCTCAACAGGTTCGTTTATTAACATCTCACAGATGATCGCATGTGTTGGACAGCAGGCCATTTCTGGCAAGAGAATCCCCAATGGATTTGAAGACAGAGCCCTCCCTCATTTCAAACGACATTGTAAGGTTTAGGTTATTGATTAGAAATAGATGGAAAATACGAAGCCGAAAAAAAAAAACTTGCTGCTAGACTTGGGTTGCGGGGAAATCTTCCATGTAAAGATTCAAAAGCTGCAGAACCTCACTGACAATTATTTTTAAAAGGCACTATCACGCCTCTCCTTAGATCAACGGAGATTTTCATTTCATTTATCTGACTGGACAGTCTGCGGCGAAAGGAAAAAATTCATTATCGACGTAGTAGTTATGACAGAATTATGATGATAACTTTGAAAAAAGAAACACATCAAAATTTTGTGCGTCGCCTGTGCCACAGATTGAAAAAACATCATTCCGATGTATTCACTGGTCGGTTATTCGCAACACAATTATATCATTGCCCACATTTTACCTATGGAAGTTCCAGACCCAGCGGTATGAAGGATGTTAACTTGTCCACTCGTAACCAGGTTATAGCTTCAAACCTAGTCAGAACTCTTTTTTGTTTCAAGTCGTCTGCTTCACTGACTGAAAACAGCATCATTCTCAGCCTTGTGTTCACTGCTTTAGCCCGTTTACAACTCTTTTATTATTTATTTCGATATAATTTCATTTCACAGCTAAATCTCCAGCAGCCAAAGGATTTGTCAAGAACAGCTTTTACTCCGGTCTTACACCAACAGAATTCTTCTTCCACACCATGGCTGGGCGTGAAGGTATCATCATTATCGTTTATGTTTTCCTACCTGTGGAAGGGTAATAGGGTGCTTTCCAATATACCAGAACCACCCGGCTACCTGGAGTTGATTTCTTGTGGACTGCACTCAAGTTTAGAAAGAGAAAGAAACATTCGTCGTCGCCTGATTACGTCCTCCATAAAACGTGAAATTAGGCATTTTCACGTCGTAGTCGTTCAGCGACGGCAAAGAAACGTACAAAAAGCGTGACGCACGTGCAAAGTTGATGGTTTGCTTTATAACCCTGTTACTTTTTTGACGTTCTCGTTGCCGTCCCTGTCGTCATTTCTAAAGCTCCCTACCAACCAGGGGTGATTACGTCAGTGTCGTAGGTCAGTCGGTTTTGGTAAGCATGATGGTGGATCCAGGGGAGGGGCCTGGGGTGCCCCCCCTCTTATTTTTAGACCAAACTGAGGCCTGAAGGGTCAACTACACCCTTCTTATCTAAGGGTCTGGATGACCGCTCCCAACTCCAGAATTTCTCAAATCACTTTTACCTGTTCTTGTAGGTTTAGTGGATACGGCTGTTAAGACTGCTGAAACCGGTTATATGCAAAGGAGATTAGTAAAGGTGAGTTGTTTGTTCCCTTTAAAGATGCTGTCGGGGTGGGGGGAGGGATCTACATGGGGCCTTTACTAGCCTGGCGCGATGATTCATAGGGTAACTATGACAAGGGGACAAAAAAGGGAGTTAACTGAAGCCGTTGTCTTCAACCCCTAGCTGGCTCTCGTAGGCTCTCTCATTTGAATGGTCACATCAAAAGATTTTGTCGACAGACTCGAAAGCTAGAGCGAGTACGGTTTTAGCATATTTTGACGTTGTGTTTTGTTCAGTCTTTAGAGGACCTTGCAACTCAATATGACTTGACTGTTCGCAACTCAGTTGGTCATATAGTACAGTTCATGTACGGAGGAGATGGCCTGGATCCTACTGATATGGAAGGGAAGGACAAACCGCTGGACTTCAATCGCGTCTTCAGTCACGTTCAGGTTGGTCTCGTAACTGCTCAGTGCTTTTGCTAAGGTCTGCTGTAAAAACAGCCAAACCTCCGTGGATTACCTGAATCCACCCAAAATAACTCCCAACTAGCACTTGCTGATTTTCTTTGAACTGAGCTTTCTAGTTGCACCAATCTTCGCAAGAAGTTGAGCTTGATTCTAGATCTTGCAACATCTGCTGCAACTGACGAATTTGGCAAGAGACAATTTTTTTGCATTTTTTTTTACTGTAAAATGGCGAGACAAGTTGCAAGAAAAGTCGCCCAGGTATCGGTCTTTAACATTTTTTCTGGCTTCTTTTGTAAGACAACAACGTCACGTGATCAGATTCAAGGTTTTTCTCTCTCTAGTATGGAGCGTAAGCAACCATCACCATTACGGCAACGACACCGAGAACGGCGGAAGGCAATTAGTGTATGGGCAAAACATCAGCTCCGCGATCGAGTGCATCTCTGTTATTTAATGAACAGATTTACAGACACGTTTACAGCAAGCGGCCAGCTGCAAACGCAAGCGGTAAACGTAGTTTTGGACCGAAATTTCCGGAAATTTTGGTCGAATGGATCGCGCCCTCCGACTCATCCCAAGTCTCTACCGGTTAAAACCGGTTTGGGTAGCTTACGTCACTCTCTCGCCTCATGTCACGCCACACGCTTAACAGTCACGCTTTTTCGCTCCGACACACTGAAACCGCATCTTTTTGTAACTGCTCTCCAGTGGTTTGGGCCCCGTCCAAACGAATCCTGATAACAAATTATGCTGTTTCAAAAATGTCTGGTGTGAACAGGGCCTCACTGGACATCGTATTTGTTTAGGCGGGCAGGTTAACGTAACTTTACCCCCTGTTCCTCTTTCAGTGTTCGGTACCTATGAAAGACGAATCTCCTTTATCTCCAGAAGAGATTCGTAGTTTTGCCCTACAAGCTATCGATGGGTCAGAATTCCAAGACTGCGGAACGGAGTTCAAGAAAGATTTGAAGTAAGTTATTGTGGTTGGTTTAATGCACACTAGTATTTAGTAGACGTATATCGTGGTACATTGAATAACTCTTGGGGTGCGAAAGTTCTTGTAACGTTTTAAAAACGCACGCAAGGAAATGAAAGGATCAAATCGTCTAGGTTTCTGGGAAACTGCCCATCCACCCCTCCCGTAAACCAACATTTTGCCATAAGTGAGAGGTAAGTGTTAATGTTAGCTTAGGGGAGGGGTAGTTGGGCAATTTCCCAGTGACCTAAGTTGACCCAAAACAAAATTTCGCTACGTCCACACCACATTGGACGAATTTTCGACAGATTCTGACCGGAAACTTCGTTCACACGGTACCGTGCAATAGAGAGCTTTAGATTCTAAGACGAGGACGACTACGAAAACGAGATTTTCTCAATGCTAAATAGTGCACGCGCGCGAATCAACGCCATTTTGGCGGGAAATGTGGTAGCCGTCGTCAGTCTACTACGAGTTTTAGCGAGAATGTCGTGGTAGTGAAAGCAGGTTATCAAATTTTAGAAATTTTATCATTTAGCATAGCGATCGGGAGAGGGCTTAACCTCTTTCAACGGTAATAAGTGTGCTAACTTTGGTGGTGAAAAAAGTACAATGAAGCTATCCGGGGTGTCTATTTTGGAGAATAGGCGAGAAAACTCAAAATTAAATGTCGTCTTCGTAGTCGTCCCATCCTCGAATTTTATCTAAAGCTCTCTAATGTTTTCTCTCTGTTCACACGGAACTTTAAACGGCTGGGAGTTTAAATTTTCTTAATGAACTGGTCGAAAATTCATCTGGCCCCAGTTGTTCAAAGGGTGGATAGCGCTATCCACCGGATAAATCTCTATCCAGTGGATAAGTATTAGGGAAACCAATTGCACTATCCAGTGGATAGAGATTTATCCGTTGGATAGCGCTATCCAGCTTTTGAACAACTGGGGCCTGGTGCCTAACTTAGCCTTTTTGTCAGGTCTTTTGTGGAAGACATTGCGGAGAAAGTTGAAATGAAGCATCGAAAGTTTAGCGTGGACAGGTACGTTAAAAATCTTGGTGTGCTAATATTCCTAATCTGCCACTGCAAGGTTTGTCTTGAGTAACAAGTGTCTTGATCTTTGCAGGTCACGCAAACTTGGTGAACTCCCAAAAGGTAAGAGATTTCTTTTTTCCTTTTGTGAATTTTTCTGGCTGACGGTGAAGGTTCCCTCTAGGCTCCTTCCACGCGTACCCGGATATTTCTTACTGTAACGGAGATTTTTCTTCTTTCTAGCTTTCCGTCCACTCGTAAACAAAGGTTTTGAGCACCAAAGACGTAGGTTTTTGAAAACGGTCCCCAGAGTGGGACTTTTTAAAAACTGAGGTTTTCAATTACAAGGATGTCATACATCATTAAGCGCATGCCCTGTAAGAAATGCTATCGTATTGCCATTGTTTTAGCGTTTTCGTTAAGTACAGGCGAAAGCGAATCAAATGCGCTAAGTGTGGACGCATATTTCTTCGAGAACGGAGAAAAAATTTACGTTTTCAAAAACATCCGCACACTTGTGCATGAGGCCTAAGTAAGCGATCAGACCGTCAACTCGTGTTAGTAGATGCGGAAAGAAAGCTATCTCATCAAGACGTATTTTAATGGCGGTTAAGGTTAACGTTGACAATACTTGTACGAAAAAAAACACCGTAAATATTGAGCTGTTTATTTATTTTTTTGTTAGTGTTGTCTTGGTTAGACCGCTGTACAAGATCTCAACTGGTCGACTTTCTGAACCTGTGTAAAGAGAAATATTCCAGAGCCAAGATTGAACCTGGAACTGCAGTGGGTGCCCTGTGCGCTCAGAGTATTGGGGAGCCTGGCACGCAAATGACGTTGAAAACGTTTCACTTCGCAGGAGTTGCTTCCATGAGTATCCTTGAATATTTTATATTACTAATTTTATCCTTGAATTAAATTAAATTTTCTTTTGTTTTTGGTATGGTAATGTATGATAAGTTTGGAACAAAAGAAAAGAAAATTTAAACCAACGATAAAATTGAACCACAACATATACATCCAATCACATGGGTATTTTAGGTTACCACCTGACAAAGAGGCGAAAATGTTTGTTTCTTGTGCATTTGCCGGTAATACTTATGTCAGGCCTACGTAAATTATTTTTATTGCATTCAGGAAGTTCACTCTGGCTGTCGAATCTCCCGCCGTTTTTTTTAACAAGATTCGGTTCTTTTCAGACACTAATCAAAACGAGTGCATTTCTTTGTTGTTAATCATTCTTAATGGTATCAGACATTACTCTTGGTGTTCCTCGAATCAAGGAAATCATAAATGCCTCGCGGTCCATCAGCACACCAATCATTTCGGCACAGCTCATGAACGACAAGAATCCTGAAGATGCGCGAGCAGTCAAAGGGCGGATCGAGAAGACCTTACTAGGGGAGGTTTGTAACAAACAAGTACCTAGATTATAAAAGAGTGTGTCAAACAATTTTCAACGGTTTTGTGGCCGATTGTAGGAATAACCTTTTGGATATGTTTTTGAAGGTTTCAGAGTACATCGAAGAGGTTTTCTTGCCGGACAGTTGTTTTATTCTTGTCAAACTTGCGGTGGACAGAATCAAGTTACTAAAGGTGAGGTTTTTAATTGAGATAGGTAAATTAACGAGTATAGTTTTCGTGATCAGTGTAGATGTTATACGAGGACTCTGCCCGATCTCTTGAAAGCGCGGATGAAAAAGACAGCTGAGATTGGTAAGATTCCATATAATCGCCTGGAACGTGTTGATCGCCTCGATTTTTGGGGACGATTGCCGTATACGATCGAAACGATATATGGAAACCTGGCCGCTTAAACTAGAGCTGATAATCACGGCATACAGGTGCTAGGCTTCGATTGGTTAGAGGAGTTTGATTGTGTGAGTTTTAAAAGCTGATGACAGGAGTACCTCGGGTGGTGCCAAAATGCCCGACCTTCAAAAAGTGCTGGAAAATATTCAGAAACTACTTTTCTAGGCAGCTAAACATAGACCTGTTTTCGCTAAGCAAATAGCCGTTTTGTTTTTAATTCCACATTGTTAGCGAATGCAGACGTATTTCCACTTATCGGGTGGAGAGAGAAGCGATGACCGGAAATACATCTAAGTTCGCAGGCTACCTCTTAACTCAATCATTTTTATTTTCATTGGCAGCTCGAGGTTGATGTCGACTCAATACGATTTTCTATCTGTAATGCGAAGAAACTTAAGTTAAAACCTCAGGTAAGATAGTTAATTGGGTGTGTGCAGTGTACCAACAAATTCAGGTCATTACTTTTTAGCTCCGCCTTCTCTTGGTCAAGCGTTTTTAGAATGCGCTTGGTCAGGTTTGTTAAGAAGTCCTTTTATCCAGGTTCTATTGTGTTTCTACTACTAACTGAGAGCATAACTAACTTAGCTTGCAAAGCAGGCGTATTTTGCAGTTCGAGCAATGATACTATTATTGGGACTAATGCTCTTCCACCATCTTGGGCGTTGAAACTGATAGACAGTTGGGGCGAGTTAAAAAATTACTCCAGGGGAGAGGACGAAGAGTAGAATAAAAGAGGGGAAGGGGAAGGCGAGAAAAAATACCTCTCTTTTCTCCTTCCCGCCCCTCCCCCCTTAGTTTTTGTTTTTGTTTCGTTGCCTGGTAGCCGTGAGCAATGTAATAGCCTTCGTTAGAAATGCCGTTACTAACTCAGTGAAGTTAGCTGCTCACTTACTCGTTTAGCTATTGACTGCTTCATATTTGTCGTCTCCTTTTTAGCAAGTAACCGCCCTCAGTAACTCAGAGATTTGTATTTATCCGAGTGAGAGCAGCAAATCGTCTCTCCATTACACGATGCAGACACTTAAGACAGACTTGCCTGACGTCCTCATCAAGGTATTAATGTTTGGAGCGTTTTGTTGTTTTTGTTGTTGTTTATTAGGAATGTCGAGTATCACGGCGACAACATCGTCTCCAAAATCGTGCCCAGGGTCTCTTTTCTCCTTCCCCTGGAAGCTGGCAACGAAGTTGCATATCCTCTACACTGCTCTGCAAGAGAGATGACGATGCGCGCGCTTGGGTGTTCTTGCGACTGCTTGCGCGTAATCTGAGCATAGCCAAGAGAGAGAATTACAAACGGTTTCACATGGAAAAAGAGCGAAAAATTTTAACTTGAACAGGGTTTTTGTTTTATGTTTACAGGGGCACAAAAACGTAAACAGGGCGATTATCCATGTGGATGAAGCGAAAGGAGACACTTACAAGTTATTGGTGGAAGGAGATGATTTGCTGTCTGTTATGTCCACTGTGGGTAAGTGTCATTATTATACGATTACGATTTATCGCCTGGATCGTACGTTTCTGAAATCAAACCTAAACGTACATCCTTGCTTATGACGAACCTTCTTTAAATATTCAGATTGAGCATCCTGAACCAGATGCGTTCTACGAAATAGGAGATTTTTGTAGTTGATGTTTTGATATCCCTAGATGGGAGATTGAGAGTAGAATATGAAATGGAGTAGCACCAGGGGACCGAAGGTGGAGAGCAGGGTATAGCAGGGATTAAGGGTAGCATAGGGGTTGGGGATTAGGGCTAGGGGCACCGGAAGTGGAAGATCAGGGCAATTGAGAGGATAATGGTAGCTTGGAACTAGGGGAAAGTAGGGATTTAATTATGGGATCAAGCAAAGGAAGCCAAGGGGAACAGGGGATGTGAAGTAGGGGGTACAAAATAAGGAGTTCTGAGGACCTGAGAAGCGGTTATGTCTTTATCCAACGTTTAGACTTGGACTGAGTCTCTTTGTAATTCACAGTCCGCCTTTTCTTTCCATTGAGTTGTTAAAATTCTCACTTGTGTGTTTGTTGTTAGGTGTCAAGGGTACAGCGACTACCTCAAACAATACAGCTGAAGTTGAAAAGGTTCTCGGAATTGAGGCCGCCAGGTTTGCTGAATTAAATTTCTAAAATAATCCTGAAGTGAACTAGCAATCTATACAGCTGGAAAAGGATTACTATTTGTTGCTCTATTGTTTTCTGGCAAACCTGGTAACCCTGTGATGGACTGGGAAAGTAGTAAGGTCGTGGTGTATAAACCGTTTTATGCAAGGGGCGCGTTCCTGGCTGTTAACTGCTGCCAAAACACATAGCTAAGCCGTGGTTTTGTTGGTATCCTGAGATCCATGTCTATACTCAACTCTCCCCTCTCCAAAAAGTAAACTAGCAAATAAATAATCGGTGCGTCAAAGTGTGCAAAATTTTTCTTTACACAGTTTTTAATCTAAGAATTGTTCAGTACTTTTTCACTCACGTGATCAGTAGCTGCGTAAATGTCTTGGAATAAAAGAAAGTTTTTACATGAGAGAAGAGTTCAAACGGAATCTTCACAGGATTTTTTTTGTGCGCCAACATGACTGTCGTTTCATCGTTTTGTACACCAACATAGCCGCGGTGATGTCATCTGAAAACGATCTACACAAGAATTTCAGAAGTAATATTCGCCATTTTCACATAAACCATAATGCACCTTGTTGACTCCCCAAAGTTCTGCATAACCATTGGGTATTACAGTGGTCCCAAGAGAAATCGAAGACAATAGTTATGCACAATTTTGAGGGTACACAAGGTACATTGTGGTCCAGGTGAAAATGGTGAGTAGACCAATTTCGATATGTTAAATTTCATACATGGCTGCGAGACTTGGGGGAATAAAACAACAAATCATCTTGAGGCTGAGCAATGAATTCTACATTTCTTTTGCTTTATTCCCCAAGCCTCGGAGCCAGGTGTGAATTTTTATATTTCGAAATTGGTTTATGGCTTACTGCGTGTGTTAACAACCGAAGGTGTCATGTGTTCCCTGTTGCCAGGTCAACCATCATGAATGAAATCAACGTGACAATGAAGAGCCATGGCATGAGCATTGATGCACGTCACGTGATGTTATTGGCTGATCTGATGACATATAAGGTAACGTCAATCCACATTCTTTATCTGTTTATACATAGTGTGGAGCATGTTGGTCTTTATCTATCGGGACCTCCTTTATTACAAACGCTCCATGTTTACCTCTTTTGAAGGGGGGTGGGGGGGGGGTCCAAATGGAACACCTTTCCGTTTGGAAGGCTTTCGCCTTGTCGGACAATTCCGTGAAATGTTGGACTACTTCGTCCCTTGATCAGAGTCGGTTTCAGCGTCCATGGAATATCTCGGTCTCGAAGAGAATTTTCCTATCCCAAGCGAGGCAGTGTGGCCGAGTGGTAAGAGCGTTGGACTCGCAATCTGGCGGTCCAGGGTTCGGTTCGCGCTCTTGCC